AATCCCGACTATGTCAAAATCCCGACTACCATAATCCCGACAATCAAAATCCCGACTATATCGAAATCCCGACAGTGTCTTTTATTATTATAAATTTCTACAATAACATTTTTATGATCGACTAGTGTCTTTGATTATTTAACATCAAGTGATGATTAGGTGGCAATCCGACTACCATAATCCCGACAATCAAAATCTCGACTATATCGAAATCCCGACAGTGTCTTTTATTATTATAAATTTCTACTATAACATTTTTATGGAAATACCGACTATGTCAAAATTCCGACTACCATAATCCCGACAATCAAAATCTCCGACTATATCGAAATCCCGACAGTGTCTTTTATTATTATAAATTTCTACATAACATTTTTATGGAAATACCGACTATGTCAAAATCCGACTACCATAATCCGACAATCAAAATCCGACTATATCGAAATCCCGACAGTGTCTTATTATTATTATAAATTTCTACAATAACATTTTTATGGTAGTCGGTATTTCGATATAGTCCGGATTTTGATTGTTGGGATTATGGTAGTCGGAATTTTGACATGGTCGGGATTTCAAGCGTCGGTATTTCAATAGATGGTCTTTCGGTTATCGGGCTTGCGATATAGACCCGTAAAAAACAACCAGCTATAAGCTTTGATCTTTGAGCATTGTTCTTAGGTTATTCCAAAGACTATTTAGTTGGTTATTGAGTTCAAAATATGCCAACATATTGTGATAAATAACCAGTTGTAAGCTCAGGTTATGCCAAAGACCATTTAGTTAGTAGGTTAATTCAAAACATGTCAAGAGATGGTATGTGTGATTACTACGTAGATGTCATTAGAAGTGTTTGGTTGTTTGATCCTGTGTGATTGTATTAAGTGTTTAATTCTGAACCTGCCAATAGATTTGCGTATAATTTGACATATTGGGAAGATAATGGATAATACTGATAAATATCGGGTTGCGTAACTGTTATCCTGCGTCGGTGTGTGGGATCCTTTAAGCGGCAGGACGCTCGAGCTATTTAGATTTTGCGTTCCATAAATCCCCTTGCGCTGCATTATGCAGTAGACAATTTCAATCTGAATTTATGCACGTGCCGGGGAATTTCAATCAAGCGACTCCTCTCCTCTGGTCGTCGGGGGTTGCTGCACAACCCCTCAACCATCCGACGGACAATTTTATTCACCCAACTTCCATATCTGCGCTGCGATTTTGTAGACACACGTTTATTACATCAAATAAGTCTTTCTGCTCTAGATAATATAAAAAAAATATTGCATGTGCATAAAACTTTTGATTTAGTTCAATTCACTAGGTGAAATCATTCCTATGCTAGACTGTTATTTAACTAATGGAGATTATCCATTAACGAAACATTGCACACGTACGCAATTTCCGTGCGAACCAAAAAAAAAAAGTTTAGGTGGAGTGGATGGGGATTATGCACCAAATTTCGAAGCAGATTGCTTTTAATCCGCTCGGACCGTTTCGATTCCCGCAATTTAAGCCCTGATTCACGGTAAAGACCCTACGAGCGACACATGTCACCGTTACACGTTTCGCATTTCAAAAACCCTTCCAACCACCACCCTTCATCCTTCCCCCAAAAAGCGGACGTCAGAAATGTATTCCGATGCGTTTCCATTTCATTTCCCCCCTTTAACATTTCGCTTCTTTGTTTCGTTTTGTAAAGGATGTGATGCCCTTTTTTTCCAAACACGTCCAATTAAAAGGGAACGATCGATGTTCATTAGTATATTTTTTTTAATTGATACTTTGAAAAGACTTGGTAATCATTATTGCTTTGCAAGGGGTAGTTTATATGTTCCATGATATTCCATCAACTATTTATTAAAAAAAGTATTTGCTTATATTGATTTTTTTGGAAAGCTATAACCGCACTATTCGCTATATAAGACTTAAATATTTTTGTACATAATTTATTCCTCAGAAACTTCATTGATCTGTTTTATATTCTATTATTTGTTAAAATTGGTATAATTATTTGTCAAATTTTCTTGAGTTTATACCTCAGAAACATGATTGATCTATTTTATCTTGTATCATTTGTCCAAGTTGGTATAATTGCTGAAATTTTCTGCAGGTGATAATTAAAATGTGTTGTCATTTTAACTGTAACTGTCAAAGTCAATAGTAATTTTGACAGTAATGTATCATTGCCACAATGTAGGAATATATCAACAAAAATAAATGCAACAAGCTAGGATACTATCCAGGAAACCATAAAGAACTAATTAGATATAAATGGCCCTTGCGACCTACAAAAGCGGTCGAGGGAAAGAAAATGATAAATAGCGGCGGTAACTGATGCTCCATCAAAGAAAATTATCCGTTAATGGCTTTTGTGTTGTGCAGTGTTTTGCCCCCCCATTTTTTTGTTTTGTTTTCATTTCCTCTTTCCGTCTTCCTCACGAAGTCTGGAGGGTTGGTGGAAGTCCTTAAGTGGCAGCGAAAGAGAAATGAAGGGCAAAAACCGGTTGATCTGTCGTCGACGGATGTTGTGTCTCGGATGAAGAGTAGTGCATTATAGATTGGTTTCACTGTGGTAATTCTTTCTTTCTGTTCTTTTTTGTTGATAGATGCGGACAGGAAACGCGCGTAATTCCGAGGGTGCTGCAGTTCCGTTACCAGTGGCTGAAATCTGACAAGGAATCGTTGAGATTGGAGCAGGCAGGAGTCAGCAAATCCGTTTTGGATTCAGCCAACGCCGCTTACATTTTGGAGATCATCGCCAAACACGGTGAGCCTGCGCCTAGGCTATGCAACAAGGATCCTCTTCTTATAAAAATGGGTAAGATGAAACACATCGATTCTGACAATGCATTACGAAACTTTTATCCTTACAATCCTTCCATCTGGACATACAACTCCATCCCACAATTACAATAAGAATTCTTAACGATGAAACATACTAAGGTATAGACATTATTTCAGTAATTGTAATGAACTAAATGCATAGTTTATAGCTTGTATCATAAATACTTGAGATTTCCGTATTTTATCTTAAATTCTACTGTTGTTTCAGGTACTTATATTGTTGACCTGTTTCCAAATGCTAAATTCATCTTCATGACGCGCGACGGTCGTGCCACGGTGCACTCGATCATCTCCAGGCAGGTGACTATCACCGGCTTCGATCTGTCCAGCTACAGGCAGTGCCTGAAGAAGTGGAACAGGGCTGCTGAAGCTATGAATCTGCAGTGCAGAGAGCTGGGATCGAGCAAGTGTCTTCGAGTTCCCTATGAGCAACTCGTCCTCCATCCTAGAGAGTGGATGGAGAAGGTGCTCAAATTCGTGGACGTACCATGGAACGAGTCAGTGCTTCATCATCAGGACTTTATCAACAAGGGTATCAGCCTTAGCAAGTAAGTGGCAATCTTCAAATTTCTACTATATAATTTTATAAATCTTCACAATCCACTTGCTTTTAGGTTTTTTATATATGTGCGTTCGCACGAACGTACACGATGTTCATATTAACGTACACTTTTCTATCAAACCTATTCTATGTGTATATTTATAAAAATCACTTTGAATCACATTGAATCTTAATTCTAAATGATTTGGTTTAACTACAATATTTACTTGGTACTTTACTATTGTGCTATAGTAGGGATAATTGTTAGATCATTATGTTACTTATTTTTTTCCTTAAATAAGTTTTTTTCATTAAAAAAAACACATAAAATTACAATCTAATTTAAATACGCAGCTACGATTAAGCGAATTATCTATATATCTATCTTGCTTTTCATCGCTGCGCGGTAATTGGGGTTGTCTAAATTGAGCTCGAACTGTGCTGTACTGTATTACTGAGCGGGTGCGGCGGCAATAGAGGGGCGGTCGCATAATTAGGTGCTAATGTAACCGCGCGATTTGGCTTTTGGTGAATAATCGTGCGGATGAGCTAGTAATTATCGAATGTACATCGAATTATACCGTAATATTCTCGCATTACAATTTCATGCGTCGCCTCCATCCAAATTGTTTCCGCCTTCTTAAACCACCAACGCCGAATAATTAATATACATCAATTAAAATCCTTTGCAATTCGACAAATTACATCAAAAATCATCGTCTGTTGTAATTAACTGTTAATACTGTTAAATAATTAATTATAATTAACCTAAGTTAATAATTACCAATTAGGAATATAATTGATTTTTGACACCTGTCATTCTCTTTTATTAATCAAGGCCAAAGTACTTGTTTATAATTGCTTTGATAAAAAACGTACTTAAACTTTATTAAATTGACTAAATCTGACATGCAAAATGACATTTCAAATCTTACAAATTGACATCTGTCAATCCATTTTTTAAAATTTGTTTACAAGTTCTTTTGTATTATTTGGGCGAATATTTTTTTTTTAGTGAAAGTTTACTTATACCGCTTTATATAGACTAAATATGACGTGAAGTTATATAAATTGATATTTAAAATTTTACAAATTGACATCTGTCAATCTATTTTTTTAATTTTATACAAGTTCTTCGGTAATATTTGGACCAATAAGTCTTTTGGATAAAATATTCACATTTAAAATATTACAAATTGACATCTGTCAACCTATTTTTTTTAATTTTATAAAGTTCTTTGTTAATATTTGGGCTAATAATTTATTTTGGAGAAAGTTTACTTATACCACATTATATAGACTAAATCTGGCGTGAAATTATATAAATTGATATTTAAAATATTAAAAATTGACATCTGTCGATCTATTTTTTTTAATAACACTAAATACTTGCATAATAGATAGATTCATAATTGATTTTAGGGAAAGTTGACTTATACTCCATTACATGGACAAAATCTGGCGTGAAGTTACATAAATTGACATCTGTCAATTTTTTTATTGGTATTATAAGAGCTGATAATTGATTTTATAAATTATCGACTAAATTTAGCATAACAATAATTTAAAATTGACACTTAAAATTGACATCTGTCATTTTTTTTTTAATTTTATATAAATCTTTTGGAGTCATTTCAGTTGATAATTGATTTTAAAGAAGGTTTTGATTGTACCAAATTCTATGGATAAAATATTGACATTTAAAATCTTACAAATTGACATCTGTCAATCAAATTATGTTTTTCTTGAAGTTGAGTTGTATGCATAAAAGATGACATCGTTTTTGGTGTTATGATGAACTAAATATAATTTTGTGTAAGTATATGAAATCAATTATGAAGTTATTTCCGGGACTTTGAGTTTGTGAATCATTTATGATTCCGGCGTTATTGTCAAATAATACATGAATTAAAATTCTTCGCAATTCATCAAATTACATCAAAAATCATCGTCTGTCGTAATTAACCCTAATGTTAAATAGTTAATTGTAATTAGCCTAAGTTAATAATTACCAATTAGGAATTTAATTGATTTTTGACACCTGTCATTCTATTTTATTAATTAAGGCCAAAGTACTTGTTTATAATTGCTTTGAGAAAAAATGTACTTAAACTTTATTGATTTGACATGCAAAATGACATTTCAAATCTTACAAATTGACATCTGTCAATCCATTTTTTTAAATATTTTTACAAGTACTTATACCACTTTATATAGACTAAATATGATGTGAAGTTATATAAATTGATATTTAAAATTTTACAAATTGACATTTGTCAATCTGTTTTTTTAAATTTTATACAAGTTCTTTGTTAATAGTTGGGCTAATAATTTATTTTGGAGAAAGTTTACTTATACCACAATATATAGACTAAATCTGGCGTGAAATTATATAAATTGATATTTAAAATATTAAAAATTGACATCTGTCAATCTATATTTTTTAATAACACTAAATACTTGCATAATAGTTAGATTCATAATTGATTTTAGGGAAAGTGGACTTATACTCCATTACATGGACAAAATCTGGCGTGAAGTTATATAAATTGACATCTGTCATTATTGTTTATTATTGGTATTATATGAGCTGATAATTTATTTTAGAAATTATCGACTAAATTTAGTATGACAATAATTTAAATTGACACATACAATTGACATGTGTCAATTTATTTTTTTTTTAATTTTATATAAATATTTTGGAGTTATTACACTTGATAATTGATTTTAAAGAATGTTGAATTATACCAAATTATATGGATAAAATATTGACATTTAAAATCTTACATATTGACATCGGTCGATCAAATTATGTTTTTCTAGAAGTTATCAATAGAAGTTACAAATTGACATCTGTCAATCAAATTATGTTTTTTTTGAAGTTATCAATTGAAGTTACAAATTGACATCTGTCAATCAAATTATGTTTTTCTTGTAGTTATCAATATTTGTATGCATAAAAGATGACGTTGTTTTCGGTGTTATGATGAACTAAATATACATTTGTGTGGAAGGTCTGTATGTGTATGAAATCAATTATGAAGTTATTTCCGGAACTTTGAGGTTGTGAATCATTTATGATTCCGACGTTATTGTCAAATAAAGCCCTCCAGTCCCTCGATACCTGGAAAACACTTTGGAACTTTGAAATTATCTCGTTCCTTTGGTGTATTTCAGGGCATCAAAGGATTATGAATAACTGCCGCCCCGATTTTCCATGCATACATTAACACCTTTAACGTCTCGTTAAGTATATAAGTAAACATTAATAAAGTGAATAAATTAAACGTTATTTCCATATGAAATACATTAAGAGACATCTTCAAAATGAATCTACAAGTAAAATAATTACATAAGAAAATTTACATTTCTTAAAAAAAATCTGCTATTATTTTTATGTAATATTTTCCATAATTATGGAATTGTTATGGAAAAGACATCATTTTTATTAATCGAAGACAACGATTTTCAACATATTTACATGCAAATATAAACAAATCAATAAATTACTTACCAATTTATTTATCTGCAATTAATCCTGAAAATTGAGATTATTAGCACAAAATCTGAATTATTTAATGAGAATTTTACCTTTGTTGTTTTCCAATTCGATTCATGATGAATTTTCACTTTTTATTTAATTATCACAAAATTAACTGAATGAAAATTTTATTTTCAACACTATTTCACTTGTAAATTTAACTTAACTCGATTTTAATCCTTCTAAACCTTTTATCGTATTGGTTTTAAATCTGAAACAAAACAATTTAATTAAATTTATGTAAGGACACATTTTGTAAGTTTTAGATTTCTAGTAGCAAAATCTAGTTTTTTTTTGTAAGATTTGTAAAATTGATTCGAAGTTCGTTGTTTTTTTCTGATCAGGTGAATTGAAGGTAGGAGAAAAAAGAAAGATGTATCAATTCCAATTGAGAAATGAATCACATATGGTTTTCATTTCAATCATTTCCCAAAGCACTTATATTGTAATCTTCGTTTATATACGATCATTTCCCCGCGGAATCGTTTCCAATCGCTGCAATTTTTTTTTTGGGATCAACAGCAAATCTCTATTCTATCATTTCATTTCTTTTATTCCTTGAATTCCCAGAGATCTTCAAATATTACAGCAATAAAAGGACTCATATATTGTACAGTTTCATTATCCTGATTAATTTCTACAATATATTCATTTAGTTTTGCTTTATTATGAAATTTGTTTAAGATCTGAAATTTTATTTTTCAATATAAAATTTATTTATTTTTTCTTAAATTTGTCATCGTTTTATCGTAATACTATACCCGCACTATCCGTGATATAAGACAGAAACAATACATGTGTTAGACGTACCTACTATTTTTGGTTGTTATGGAAACTAAGAACGTGTATGTAAACATTGTAAAATATGTAAAATTGAAAAAGTATAGACTGTATACTTTTGGTTGTCATGGACATATATGATATTTTGACTATTTTTGGTTTTCATGGAAACTAAGGAAATTTGTTTATATAGTTTCTAAAACCAAATTGAAAAACTATATTCCATATACATAAATTAGTTGTTGTGGACAAATATGACATTTTGATAAACTTTTTGTCTTAGCTGTCTCATAGTGTTCATTTATCATTACGACAAGTTATTGTTATTATAAAACAAAATTCTATAATAATAATACGTCCTAATCCTTGCAAAACTCGTAAAAACTTAGAATTTGAAAATTAATTAAGTATTTTATATATTTTGCTGTGTACACTAAAAGTTAATTATAATCTTTCAAACATCCGAATTTGCAAAATTTACTTCATATTTGAATTAATTAATTTACATCTTGATCCTTGCAAAAAGCATTAAATAATTTATATATTATCTCTTTGTGTACTTAATAGAAGCACGAGTCATATAATAATAGTTAATTTCATTGCAGGCAGGTTTAGTGTGCACTTTACCAAAGGAAATTGTTAAATTTTACGAGGATTCGCAAACACGAACATTACCATTTTCCAGAA